TCGGTGTCACTCCCAACTATTGAGAAACAACAAAAGATGTTGAATTGTAAGAATAATTTCGATCATTTACTTTTTCGATATCTTTCCTATCTTTGAACCGACTGTAGAGCAGAAGAATGACATAGGGAATGGATAAGTAGAACATTCAAGGGAACTGTTAATCAATTTACTGCTCTACATGAACTATTAAAATATGTTTTATGTGTTATTTAGACACAATGATACTTGGCTTTTATATTTGAGATAATTAAGAAACCTTTTGTGTTGTCAAAGCCTAATTTTGATGTATTTCTAAATATTGTAGTGCACATCAATGATTCAATTTAGAGAATAGTGATGAGGCACAAAATACATGTTTGTGATAACAGTTAGGTTTCTCGTTTGGTTGTGTTGGTAAGAAAAACAGTACAGTTGCTTCAAAATGCCATCGAAATTTATTAACTATGTCTTTCCAATTCTGAGCGTATTTTCTTCATTTTCAACACAAATGCTAAAGCCCTGGAATCAATCATCACTAGTAATGTATGTTTTATATTAACTATAGCAAGCATTTTTGTGTCTTCCTGTTAAAGTTCTACTGAGGAAAATCCGATTGAAACGATGGGAGCTTGATAGGAAATACCCTCATGTTCAAAGATCATGGGTCCATAATATTTAATATATTCAACTGCTCAAAACTTGTTTCACGATTAATTGACGCTTACATTCCGTCCATCTGTTACAGATTCCGATAGTTCGAGACACAGTTAATGTACACCTACAGAATATGCTGAACAAGATCTTTTTATTTCTGTGAAATGCTTGGGTATATATCTTTTTCTCAGGGATAGGAAGGAACATGTGTTTGTTAAAGTATAAAAATAGACAACCATCCTGCTAGAAGAAGAAGTCCACCGTATGGGGTAATACGACGGTATCGTGCATCGTTTTGAATAGCATGATAATACATAGGACCACAAAATAAAGTTATACCACTGATCAATAATGAACCAGTAATCACCGGGCGACTGACTAATGGTAAACCAAGTAAAGCAACTGAATGAAGCAGGTGATAAGTTTGCGCCAATTGAAATAACTAAATAAATACTATAAAAAAAGAATAATGAACCTTTTCCGAACATACGCGACGAAGTTCTTCAGATGTACTGTCCTTCATTGTATGAGCTCCGTACACACCTAAACATATCGCCACAGTACCAGACAAGCCAGCGCAGCGAACAAAGTTCTTCGCTGTTGGTGATAGAAGTACGCCTGTTAATGAAACAGGTGTCACGGGAGGCGGTGGTGGTGGTGATGGTGTTGGTGGAAGTGGTTTGATTCTAAATGAAGTCATTTGGAAATCTCCATGAAAGTAACGAAACAAAAATGCTAACCCAATCGATTTTAGGAGGCCATCAGTCCATCGGCTGATATCTCGAATAATTGCTACGTCCATCGATGTATAGAAACGATCTATAAAACAGTTCGAACATAGTACACAAACATACACTTTCGATCGATCGTTTATATTTTCATAAATAGAATCAAATAATGAATGAACAAAAAAAAAACAATACATATCATGTATAGATTCAAACGAGTGTTCATTATTATTGTCGACGTCGTGCTGCTTTCCATTGTTCGATGGTTTGTTTCAACTCTGGTTGAGGAATCACGTCTTGCATACGTAATGGATTTCGATTGAATGGATCGATTTGATCACTCAGAAGATGCCGAGCAATCGTTGCGCGGTCAACAATTTGGCGCGAACTTGGTAACATCACTGGATCAGTCATAAGAGTGCTCGTAATCGGATCGAGATATTCATCCGGTGCGTCGTCATACACAGCATCATCTTCTTTTTGTTGTGCGGCAACATCTTTGATGTGTTGACCAAGTTTGATAAAAGCTTCGACTCGTTCAGGTGGATGACGAATTTTTTCGAGTACTTCAACAGCTTGAGGAAACAATTGCTCGTTATACGACCTATGAAACGAAACAGATTTGTTTTCGAGTGTATGTTGATCTTTTTTTCTCTTACATTCCATCCACACAAACAGCTGCACAAAATTCTTCGCGTTCGGCAAAATTTAAGTAAATGTCCGTCACTTTGGCGACTAATTTTTGTGGATCGAACTGATATTCATTGAAATCGCGTACTTTTAGATTTCGTCGTTTCGGTCCGACCTATGCAGATCAAATGTTTGAATAATTTCAAATGAGACGAAAAACAAAACTACGAACTAAATGCTGCAGAAAATAGTTCAACATCGAAGCCAGACGTTCACAAATTGCTGGATTGCAAAAGATTGACTGAATATCACGTGTAATCATATCAAGAATAGTTAACTAAAGAGGCGAAATTATCAAAATTGGATACAGGTCGTTTTTTTTCTCTCGACTTACAGTTTTGATTCCCATAAAGTTTGTATATCGAGCTATTTGACCTGTATGTCGAAATGTATTCTCGAGATCTTGTCTCTGTTGATCTGGAAGACTTGCCCATTCGCCACGATCCATCGCTTCTTGATTCTCCCTCAAACGAGCCATGTGCTGCAAACAAGAGACAACAGTTTTCCAAAGCAATTATATTTAACTTTACCGATAATGCTTCGTCTAGTAGGTAGTTAGCATCGTTCATTAATAAACTTATGAAACGAAGAAAGAGCGGAGCTTCTGCATCATCGATATGTTCCTCAGCATACTCTGCAAGTTTCTGAAGAAAAGGATCAAGTGAATAATCATCAATAATCAGTTTTGGACGAGAACATACTTTCACTTGTTCACGATGTTTATCGAATTTCCAAAGATATTCGAGGATTTCGTACATAGGTCGACGATAATTGAATTTCTGTTCGAATGCAACTGCCTGTCCAGTTAATTCAATTGAAACAAAAACATCGAGAAGAACACGTGGCAAGTGTTCGATCAATGGATGATTCGTGAAAATTGATTCTGCAAAGGAACTAATCACCAAAGAACAAAAAATCTTCAGTTTCGCTAAATAACAAAACAAACCTGTTCAATGTTCGACCGCTACCGTGTTGCTTGTTAGGAAGAATAGCTTCGAATGCTTCGGCCAGTGCAGCACGTAAGTGTGGATTGTGTAGACGACTTGCATCACCCATAAATACCAAGACCAAAGTAACATATTCATTAACATGTGCAAGTGACTTGAGAAAAACAAGAAATATTATTCAAAACTCAACGATTAACAACTAAAATGTTTACTTCGAACAATTGCACATTGAATCTGCTTAGAAATGTTAAGTAATTCGTGATGTTCTCCATAATAAATTCCGGAATAAAGCTCAGTTGTCGATTGGGCTTTGATAGTAGCGGTAATTCTTTAATCGGACGTAATTCCTCCGCACTTTCCGGATGATCGCATGCTGCAAGATGAACAAGCCATGAACATGTCGCAGTAAACAACGCATTTGATAGTTCCAATAAGCGAGGTTCATTTAGTACAGTTTTTATGTTGAGAAAAGCCGTCATACCTGAAACAAATACATCAGTCAAATTATTTTGGTGTTCAAGTTAAAGAGATCTCATTACCTTTTTCCATTGCACTTTCTAATCTTTGTGCACCTTCATGGCTCGCTCCATGTAATCGAATTGCATTGTTGTACGCATGTTGAACACGTGATAACTCTTCATTGATCTGAGAAAACCAAATATCAACGAGGCTACAGCTGAAACGAAGTTTTTACCTTTAGTAAAGTCCGATGAAGTCTTTGAACTGAACATGAATAACTTAGATGAGACATGAAGAAGATTTCAGTAATGAAATTAAATGTAATTGGACTAGTTTTTTCCGGAAGATTATCTTCATCACGAACGATCAATGGTGTATCCTTATGAAGATCTAACGAACAGAAACGAAGTTTAGAAGAAAGTGATATTTGATTGCATACTATACCTTTTAAATGTACATTGTCATTTTCACTAATTGCATAGATAGGATTGATCTTTAATAATTTCGGCGAATAAGGTTCACAAAACGGTCCAGCAAGATTTAACAGCACAATATTCAAATTTAGTAGAAACCCATCACTAGCGTATACATAAGCAGTTAATGGATTATGTGATGCCCATTCTTTGTTTTTGCCTAAAAGAAAACCAAGTTTCAGCTGTAGACTTGCAGGAAACAAAATACCTCGATTCTGAAATAAACAATCGCCAATCCATTTTAATACATCATTACGTGCATCGGCACTTTTGACAAATGCCCGAAACACTTGCGATAGATATTCTTGATATCTTCTCATTGGCTAAAATGGCTCGTAATGAAATCAACTAGAGAGTATATTGGATTCAATCTTACCTCCCACATGGTTCCAGCAGTTAGTTCAACATCACGCTCAGTCATTACTTTCGGTTTTTCAAAGAATAAATAAGGTTTGTCAGGTGTTGATGGTAGACATGATTTGGAAACAAGAGTACCAACTATTGTATCTTCAAAAGCTCGACCGCTAGTATTTCCTGTTCCGAGCGGATTTCGAAATGGACGGTTCGATGATGTTTTCGGATCAGATAATCGAAACAGAAGCTAAACAGAATCGAATGAATGTAAATCATTGTCAACAAATATCTCACTCACTCGAACAAGTATTCCCCATTTTGCTAGATGAGTCAATATTCCAATGTATGAAAACAATTCCGTTGAGTAATAATAGAGCGGTTTAATCGCTATATACATATGACGAAAGACCGATTCATAGAGATTTTCCATTTCATCAGTAGACGTCGATGATAATACATCATTGTTAATACAATCTGTATACTCGTGTATCGATGGATTTTCTAAATTGTTTCAAATAGAGACAATAAAATAGCTGAGTTCGAGTCTTACCTTGGCCATCAAGTAACAAATCTAACCATTGTTTTGATAAATCTTGCCTATCGTAAAGATCCGGTAAAGAAATTGCTGTTTTACTATGATTGACAAATAATTGCTTAATCTCATCAAGGACTGATTGAAAACGCTCCTATTTTGTAAACAAAGTTCATATGCATGACTATGTTGAAAAGACGAATGCTTACTCGTTGTCGAAGTAATCTTTGGTAACATGCAGATAAGTATATCAAACATCGCGTTTCTACGATTACACTTTCATCCGTTCGACTTGTTGACTTTTTTGTTGTTGCTGACGATGACGATGACGTTAACAATTGACTGACTGGATCGGTCATTCGTAAACGTTCGAACAGAGCTTGGTCTACTAGATTTTTGTCCCAGTGTTCGGGTTGTTCATTCGCTAATTCCGCAAGATAAATTAGTGTTGATGAGGGTTGTTCGTTGACTGTACAAAGAAGAACATATTCAAGTACATCTTGATAGATATTCGATATTATTGAAGGATTGTCAGCAATTGAAGAAGGTTTTGAAGACGAAGTTGAATATGGGCTCGATGATGAGTCCGAGAGAATTAGAAAGGGATTCGACATGATGAAAAATCAATAAATAATAATGCTAAGCGGACGAGACGTTGCGATGAATTGTAGGAAAAGGAGAAAATAGAGTAAAACAGAACACGTTGTTTCATTTGTCCTTCTCAACTTTCTATCAGGCGACGAACACTCATGCAGTCATTTAGAATATAGATGTCACTGATTTATTAGTATATCAATAATTGATTTCATGCGACAAGATACGCTTTATTATATTGTTTGCAAATAGAAATTTATTTTTACGAGACAACAAAGGAAAAAATATTTATCATAGATGTGTTGAGCAGACGGGACAGTATAGTGTCACTGAGGTATACCGAAAATTCTCCAAGTAGATGAGGAAGAGTTCGTTGTTCGTTGTTGAGATTGATTCGTAGTGGATTTCGTTAGTGATGTGTGTTGGTTCGAACTAAATAGAAATGAATAGATTGGTTGATTTTTGGAGAGAATACTCTTACTGGTTTTGGTTAAACACTTGAGAATATGAGCGAGGAGTGTATTTTGCTGATTGAGCTAGTATTTTAGAATAGTTGATTCGACAGAAAGACAACAGAGATATTTACCATTATGTTTTATTTCTTGTACAGCTGCATTTTGATTGAAGTGCCGGTCATAGGATGTCGAATAGTATGATACTGGTTCACGTTTATCGAACAAGCGATTTTCATCAACGAGTCTTTTCAAACGTTCATTTCTCTCTTGACTTGATGAGTGTTGTCTTTGTGAGGGTACTAACCAAGATGTAGATGATTGAACTGGCTCTTTGAGAGACGAGCTTTTCTCTTTGGAATTTGCATCGACTGATTGAGTGAAAAATCCTTGATAAACAACAAAGTTGTTAACCAGATGGATAGGTGAGGAGAGATTGTAATGTTTATGAAGAAATGCTAAACATTTGTTCGATGGACGATCCACCGGTAGTTCGTGTGGAACACATTTTTCAAACTAAATTCAGTCTCAAAGATTCGTCAACATCAAGAACAAACGTATTGTTGTTCACTTACACTGAGCATAGTGTCGAATAATTTTTTACCATATCCTAATCTCTGTTTGCTTTCATGAACATAAAAGTCTAGGACACACAATGGCGTTCGTTCGTATACTTGACCATTCGTGTCGTAAATATACAGATGTTTTGGGCCAACTTTTAAAATGCCAACAACTGAACCCTTGTTGCTAGAAGATGAGAAACTATGATAACTTTGATTTTTGCAAGAGAGCTATACTTGTTATCGTCGGATTTCTTTATGATATATAAATGATGATCGGACATGCGTAATTTACGTGCTGTGGTTATCGGACCGTATAATCCCTGTGCCTATGTGGTTAAAATAACGAAAAAACTGTGTTGAAAATTAGTTTCAACTGGTTTTACTTTAAATGAAGCGTCACCCATTGCATCAATAATCGACGTAAGTTTTTCCAGAGCACTGCAAAACAATTCGATTGCGATGAAAGAAGTGAGGACAACAATTGACGTACTCACAGTATTCGAATAGATTCACCTGGATTGAGAACTCGATAATCTCCATTGATTATTGTCAATTCAAGAGGTAAAACTTGATTTATATCAAATGGAAATTCCATCGTATTTCTTTACGAAACTTTACTACATTCTCATACTCTTGTAGCCATTACACTTGTCATTCTTCCGAACGACATCCTCTGTTATTGTTTCTTTCCAATGAAATTAAAGACTATTACAACGAAATCAGCACTCTATGTCGTGTTTCATTTGGTCTTATTGTATTGTACTCGGGGAAAATATAAATAGTTCAGATATAATTTGTGGTTGAATCATTTTCCTTCAGTTTTGAATTTTGGCATCAACTGCATAGCAGTTGTCATGTTGTTAGGTATATCATTGATTAGGTTGAAAAATAACTGATTGCATTTGAAAATTCATCATTGTACAGTATGTAGTGAATCTTATGAAATTTTACATAGATTGTGTGTCTAAATGTGATATCATTTTAGGGAATCACTGAATATACATGATCGACTACAATTTAAGATACTTTTAAAGCTCGTGGAAATGTCAATATTTTGTACACAGGTCTCATGTTGTTGAATGTTTGTTTCTGATAGCTTACATTAAAAACAAGATAGAGATTCATGATCCTTTTGATGTTTAAAAAGGAGAAATGCATTAAAACACGTGTTTCGAATAATGTTTAAAATTTATAGGACTTTTATGAAGAGTTTTTGCATCAGTACTATGATGGAGAATGCAGAAGCTTTCCATTGCATTAAATTAACGAACAACTTGAAGTGATCGAGCTGTTACTATGAAACTAGGAATCGTTATCCATTAAATCTACTTACTAATAATTCTATTGAAGGACGACGAGGATACGCTTCACATTATTGAAATTGTATATAAAGTGGATAAATTATAAAAATCATGAGATTTTTCCAGTGCATTTTGAAGTATTAGAATTATACTCATTCAGTAAACTATCTATGTAATAATTCTTTGAATGACATCCAAGACAAAGAGATTATTATTCGTAACATATCTTCGGATGTTTAACCTACCTTTCATTAATCTTTTCACTGTGAATACCTTTTTATAACAAATATTTATCGGATATATCAGTAAATTACACACGGTTTTTTATTCTATACAAACAAAATGTTACAATCAATAAGCGAATTTGATTCGTGGCTGTTGCCGTTGTATATTGGTTCTCGTTGCATTGGAGATACCGTTATTATTAAGTAGGTATATGACTTGTATTGTCTAAAAACAAAAAGACAGACGTCGAAATGAAGAAAGACCGAGTCATTCACTATGTGACTTCGTATTGAATCTACAGAAGATCGTGTCCCATTATCTGTGATCTAATTATTTTGAAGACTTAAAGTAGTAAGTATCTGTGGAAACATTTGTAAAACCTGTGTATTGTCCATTGATTGACAATATCTCATTGCTCCCGAAAGTTAAGTATACCCATGAGATGACAAAATAATTCTAATAGTGTTAAACCTTAATTCAAAAGGGTATTCCAGACACCGTACAAGTGTAACTATTCTATGTGAATTTTTATTAGACTTGTCATCATCTCAAATATGTTCTTGATCTGTTTATCTTTTTACAAAAAAAGATCGATCGTTTCTCTAACAGTTTTTATATAAAAAAGTTACCCTATGAATTGATCTTAACTCATCATATCCAACAGGAATGTGTTATTTCATTCAAACTTTGAATATTAAAAATAGAACAAGAATATGATGACTGGTGTAATCTTTCTCTTCGTGCTCTCAGATTTTATTAACTATTTAAATACAATATTCACTAATACGCTTCCCTTTTTACATCAAAATAAGTTTTGTTATTTAACTCTACTATAGAGTATTTACAGTCTGTTCTGCCTTGTGTGGTACTTTTTTTTTAAAACATTTTACTATTTTTAGACACAAAGAAATGATCGGATAAGGATCTCTTTTGTTGTATCTGAAAAGTTAGTTAAACAAAGTTGCTTACTCTGTTCTGCCCCAATGCGTTGCTCAACTGTTGTGCTCCGTCATTTCCAATCTGATTATTAGAAAGATACAACTCCTTGAGTCCCTGGATAAAAATACAGAAATGAATAAAAATCAAAGTAAAAGTGCTTTTCTCGAAAATTAACTTGTCGTGCGTTATTATATCAGAACTCATCGTAAATAACACATTTTTGAAGTGAAGTAAAACGACGAAAGCTCAATCTTCACAATAGATACTTGTTTATTCAAACAAAATAAATCCTCTATATTTCTGATACACGATATTCTGTTTCTTAAGGGAATATATTCTACAATTCGTAACGTTCATCAACACACTGGACACTCATCGACCGAATAGATAACTTACTTGATTCTGAGTCAGCATAGCAGCGAGGTGTCGTGCGCCCTCATCCTTGATTTGATTTTCATGTAGATATAGATGTGTTAATGTCTATACATACAATTGAAAAATATAACCAAAGATGTTCACTGTCATTGTTAAAGGACCCTGTCGGATAAGGTGACCTATCCAAAATCTAAATACCAAGCACAGCATCTTGTAGAGCACTCCAAGGCGCATCGAATGGTGTATGATAAGTTGAGTTTTCGTGTAGTTAAGGGAAAGTTATGATCAATTTACTGCTGGAAAACTGGGGTCAAATTGAACATAAGTAGTGAAGCAGTATAGTTCTAGAAAAACACCTTGAAATAGATTTCTTATATACAGTTGTGTAGAGCTTCTCCTAGGCTACAAGTTGATATAGTCCACATATCTAACCATAATAAATTTCAAAAGAAAACAGGGGCCCTTCAGACATTTTTTCATATAAGGCGATGATGATCAGCTCATTATAATTGATATTATTAATCTCAACAGAACTACCCACGGCTCATAATTTCTGCAAAACTGCGCGTTAGTCAGGGCTAGAAAATGTACTATTTGGATGTGTTCCAGGATATGCGCATTATGGCTAGAATTAAGTTGCACTGGAGCGCTTCAACCGATTTTTGCACAAATTCTCAGGTTTTAGCGATTTATGTATCCATTTTCATTACTAAAACTCAATCCAAATTAAAAACAAGTATGATATTCGTGTTCAGCTCGAAAAACTGTACTATAAAAGTCAAGTTTCAGTCAATTACTTTCTCCTTGGAAAAACTACCTGAGGGGGACCTCAATCCAGTTCTTGGCGATATTTTCGATGTACTCCCCCTCAGGTAGGGTGTC